ATAGTGCAATTTGGATTCAAGAAGAAAAAGAGCTATTACAAGAAGTGGCCGGTATGGGCGAATTGCGAGAACCTTGGCATACAAAGCAAGTAGAATTGCTCGATCGTCATCTTCATCTTTTGCACCTTTATTCTCAAGCTAAAGAGAATTTAGCTGCATTTAAAGGTAGAACTAAAAGAACAATTATTTATTATCAAATTAAAATGAATTAATATTTACATCTCATCAATTGATAAAATGATCTTTGTAGGAAGTTATTTCAAACGATCATCACGTAGGAATGATAGAACCCTTGAATTTGCGCCTGTTAACTTACATCTTCAAAGAATGTGGGTGCATAATGATACACTAAACAGATGTGGATTTTACGATTTTATTACTGTCGGAGCATTTACCGCGCATTCGCATAAAAGTAAAAATGGTGGACTCATTAGGTGATTTATTATTATGGTTTATTTATTAATCAAATGATTCAAAAGCGAATGGATGAAAAAGATAGATAAATAATTAGAAAAAGAATGAGAATATATGTATATTTTATTATATATTTTTATTGATGTTATTGTTTTAGGTTATTACAAGCTTTAAAAGAATCGCCAACACGTAACAATCATTTGTATCAAGGAACCTCAAAAATAATTATGGCACACGATGCCATTCAGGCGATTAAGCAACTTAGACGAGATGTTGTCGATGCGATGCGTGCTTTAATGAAACTTGCAAAAGACAAACAAACCAGTGGAATGTTACCAATTTGTGAAGATATGATTACAAAAACTAGAATTTTGCTTAGTCTTTGGGATCCTGGATTGGTCGAGGAAGCATTAACCTTTTTAGAGGAATATAAAGTAGCTAAGGTTCACGAAACATCGAATGAAAATTCTCTCAATTTAGATTTTAAAACAAATCAATCATTATCTCCTTTCAAAAGGATTACACAACAATTGAATTTTGATTTAAAAAGTCCGGATTTTGATGATTTTGTTACGCCTGATACGCCAGAATGCATGAAAGATTTATGGATAAAAGAAACCGATAAAAATGGTTATACGGCTTCGTTTAACGAACATGTTCACGTAAATCATCATATTAATACTAATCAAGATAATGTCGAAAAGAACGAAGAAAATTTTGTTATTTTTCCTGATGTTGAAAATGATAGTAAGAATTCTGAAATTGAAGAAAATTGCATGGAAATTAATCAAAATGTCGACGATGGGAACAATTCTGTTAATGAAACTATTGCTAACATCAAATCTGAGAGTAATGAGGAAAGAGAGGAGGAAATTAAGATTGACATTGATCCATGCAAACGGTTTTTAGATACTCAAAAAATGTGCAATTCACCTTCTGCTAATTATTATAAACCTACTGACGAACCTGAGCCCTGGGATCTAACTCAATTAAATATTGAAGCAAGCGTAATGTGTTTAGTATCGAAAGTGAAATTTCTTTGTGGAAGGTGCAGTAGTCCCGCAGTACGATTGCGAAATAAAAATGTTGTTGGAAGATCACATAGTCTAAAAGGATGTATTCCAAATAATCGTAATAAAAATGCCCAAGTTGTAACAATTCAACCAAAAAATGATATTAAAAACGACGAATCGAGTAAATTGCTTGAAAGCGTGGAAAATAGTTCAAATTTACGACAACAATTGAGTCCAGGTTCGGAAATGACGATGCCAGCTTTTTCTAAAGCTAAAGAAGGTAAGAAACTAGATTTTCGATTGTTCAACTTTGATTGCTATTATAATATGAGTTAGGTGCGTGAGAAACGATTTGCGCTAAATGTTGCAAGTGGATATTATTCATATTGTGCTTGCGCGAAATTCGCGAAATCAGTTTTCACGTTCTTTTTAAAAGAAAAAGAACTAATAAAAAAGATAGAAAACAATCGATTTATTGGGCAATTGATTTATTTATACTTCATATTATATACATATTGTTCATTATGAAGTGTGTCAAGCTGTCGATTCGATGACGAGAGTGATTAAATGCAATTCGGGACAAAGGAATAAATTCACCGAAGGTCTAGATTTTGCCTCGATCGTCGATTGGACAAGTGAGCTAAGACCAAGTATGAAAAAACTACGACAAGCTATGGATGGTTTGCTGAAAACTGCTCGATTGACTCATTCGGTATTCAGGGTGCAAGAAGATCCGAAAGCAGCTCAACGTGCTTGCAATGTTCGTTATAGACGAGATGTCTGTTTCAGTCAAGCAGTAAGTTTGCAACATATTTTCTTTTTTTTTTTTTTTTTT